CTAATCAGCTGTACCTGCAGCTGCAATTGTTTTACAGATCACGGTATGAGACTCGCAAGCGCTCCCATGCTTGAACAAGACAACCACCATGGACTACGATTGCTAGAGAAGGGAACGAATGGCATATGTGCTGGGGTCCGAACAGCTCTTAAAGACGGGCCGTCCAAGTATCCAAGTAAGTAAGTATTTTGGACCACATGTCCATGCCTCGTACAAGACCACATAGCTAAGTGTAGAAGAATACCAGGATCCACCACTGTCCTGGTATTAAATCGGTCGCATTGTGGCAATTCTCCTTGTGGTCCACAAGGGCGGCAACTGCCTGTGATGGTAACCACCTGGGGCGGACTTTTGGCTAGACTGGCTTTGGTACTCTTGGGAATCCCAGCAAATCTCCGACGAAAATGGAAATTATGCTTAACCCCGCACAATCAGTGAAGACGGCCCGCTAACGTATCCAAGTATCTTACTCTGATTAATTCTTCACATCGCTCGTTAACTCTTTTTCTGAACTAGGACTAAAACAGTTCATAGTATTGACTTAAAGTCCAGATATAGGTAGGTGAAGCACTCGGAGATATTTGTTCTGTCAAACTTAGAGTGATATTGGGAAAGAAAACGGTTTTCGTGAACATCGTCCTGTTTAAGTTCAAACGAAGACTGATCTTTTCAGAAGTGTTGTCGAAATAGCTGAGCATTCGAAGATTTAGCTTCGGAAAAACGAAGATGGTTTCACTCCCACAACCGACTTTCTATTAACTTCCGCATTGATCAAGTAATTCTTCGTATTTTTGTTGAGCAAACGCGAGGTGTTACTATTCTTTATTCACGAATAAGCTGACGTTTCGGCAGATTTCGCCTTCCTCAGAGCCTGGAAAGGTCAAGTTGATAGCAATCTCCATACCTCCCAGACGCCTCCCTAACCAAACAAAGAAACTCCAAATCAAGATTTCAATCACATTGAACACAGCTTTGCACACTCACCGCTTTCTATGAGGTTTCCACTAAGTATGTCACGTAGAGACCAACCGCACAGAAATCACATGTGTTCAGTGTGATTGAAATCTTGGTTTGGAGTTTCTTTGTTTGGTTATGGAGGCGTCTGGCCGAGTAGATTGCTATCAACTTGACCTTTCCAGGCTCTGAGGAAGGCGCAATCTGCCGAAACGTCAGCTTATTCGTGAATAAAGAATAATAACACCTCGCGTTTGCTCAACAAAAATACGAAGAAGAAGGTTTAGCTCTGGCGATAAACTTCAATTCCTTTAAGTTTAGCTTTAAGTAAACTAACTTTAAGCTTCAAGCGATAAACGGTTTAAACAGTAAATTTTCAGTTAAGTTTAAGTTTAAGAAAACATTTTTGACACTCCAGATTTCGTATTTCGAGAGTGGTACCGAATCGTTTTGAGAAGGCTACATAACCTTATTGGACCTCTCTTTAAATTTAGCGTTGAGGCTGTTCTAGAATTCTGATTGTATTTGAGGAGAGAGAAAAGAGAGAGAGAGAGAGAGAGAGAGAGAGAGAATGAAGTTGTTACGACAGAGAAGGTGCACTGATTGGGTATCCCGTGCAACGCATATTTGGTAGCTGATTCTAGCCTTCGTAAGCCAGGTAAGCTAATGCTTTGTATTGGGCACATTGATAATCGACTTGTCAGAGAAAAGCTTCCTCTAGTCAAGAAAAGCCTGCCTACAGCTTGTAGTGAAGATCTGGGAACAGTACGACAGAACTATTTCAGGATTTCAGAAAGAATTGATTCGACTAATATTCAGTGGAATTCGCAAAGAAGCCACAATCTTCATATAGCACTCGAGGTCATACGAATGTTTGAGCGCATCTAAATAGTTAAATTTAAAAAGAGGTGAATAAAGAACATACCTTCTCTTGGCAACGTTTGCAGCTTCGTTATTCCTGACTCGTGGTACCCCTCAAAACCTTAACACTTAGGGAGTTCTCTGAACTTACGTAACTGAAATTTACTGAAACGAATGTATCGCGGAAACGGCGATGCTCAAAATGCCACATTCATTGCGAGTGGGGAGGAAAAGTGTAACCTGTAGCGAGCGCTCACTTTTTTGCAGCACATTGTTGTGTCAAGTGAAATTTTTTTGAAAGTTTTTTTTAATTTGTCAAGTATTATGAATACGTTTTCACTCATAATGTGTGACATAATATCTATGCTGACTAAGGCATCGGTAGAATAGAAAAGATATAGTAAACTCTTTGCGACATTCGTTAGAAAAGTGCATGGAAATCAATACATACCGTCATTTATGGGTTAAGTATGAATGGTGATACTCCGGGCACCAGAAGATTGAAGTTCAATTCTTCGTGACACGTGGTTATCTCAACAGTGAACAAGAGCGTTTAAGGACTACTTACTTGGGTATGTCAAATCCACACTAGGAAGACCACTGTGAGAGATTTTTAGTTGATAGTGATGATTTTTGAATTAATACAAGAACAGAACTGAGTAATTGTAGAAGGGGAAAATTGCAGTGAGGCACACTGCATTAATGAACGAGGGGGAAATATTTTACCGTAGAAATTCTATTCGTTATTGTCGTGCTCAATCAAATGTTTAGCATTTGAAATAACAAGAAAAACAAAAAAAAAATCGAAGTCGTAAACGCTTTATTTTATAAATTTGTGCTAAGTAAACTGCATGTAGAAATCCGTATAGCATATTGTTCGGCGAATATATAGTGATGTATTTCTCACTGTTATTCTGGTAGTTGTAATTTTCACGACAGTCCATTACTTCTCACTTCTAGTCTATACCTTTCTAGTTGCCAGCCATCCTGGTAGATCCAATTAAGTAATGGATTATGATATGTTTGCAAAAAGTAAATCACGGACTGCTGGTCTCTTCTCTTAGAGGTCCTATCATAGAATATTCTTCTTTTGTGTAATGAAATGTTTTTAGAAGCACCGTCACACGTTGAAGTCGAAACTCCTCATAGTGTTTGAGAAAGGACAAAAACTTTGTCCACATGATAGCTCTGTTATCCGTAGGTGAGTGTTTTTTCTTATCGTTCCTATCTCCAAGAACAAGCTTTTTCCGATTTGAAATACACGTACCACTGTGAGCAAAATAAGTGTTAGTAAGTCGTCGCTGTGTGTTGACACATTGTTTTCAAAATGCATTCATTTCAATGCATTTCTGTACCAACTCGATAACTTTTCCCTTAGCGATGTTTAACTAGTTGTCTGTCGGGGAAGACTCTATTCTAAACGTAATTTACAAGTGTTAATGGAAGCAGTTTCTTCATATGTATATATATACAACACACAGCAGAGGTATTCTCTAGTGAGTTTCTTGAAATGTACTTGCTGTAGTTGTATATCGAAATTAGAGTATGGGGTGTACAAAGCATCTGTTAGTTTCCAATCTTAATCAGTGTACGGCGTCAGTTCGCTGTTTGTGTTCACAGAAGAAAGGTTTCCTCGGTCGTACTTTCCGGTGACCTCGGTCTTGATGAAGTGACCGAAAGGATCTCATGCGCTGTGGATACTGTGATAATGCTCTTTTGTTCCATTCTGCTCTTTCGTTTGAATACCACTGTACATCTTCTATTATACACTTTTTATTCTACAATTTCACCATTCAACTGCGCCATTTTCTGGTTTGGTTTAATGACGTGCTATGGGTGTCATTTTTGTTTTCCATGTGCCTGCCAAATCTCTTTCTTTTAACTCTCGACCAACGAAGCATTCGTATACCAACGATTGTTATAGAAATTTCTTTCTCCATTCAGAATATCGTTAACGATCCTCACCACATATTCAACCAACCTCTTCTGAATTGAACACGAAAGGTTCAGATAAAAACAAAGGAAAAATCTCTGGTAATCCCTCAACCGTGATACCTAAGCAACGAATACAATTTGAGAACACAGGATGATGAATTCTTTCAGTTCTTCAGCATTTGTCGTTTTCAACTATCTGTCCTCGGTAAAAAATTGAGCCATAAGTGATCCACAAAAATATATTGATTCTTTGCATCCAAAGAGCTAGGGAGCTAGCCGAGAATGTTCAAAGCAGTCCGGCAGTTATCATAGATCTAGGTGTGACAAGGAGTTATACAATTCACACAGGTGACCTCATTGTCATCAAATCCTTCCTCATCCTCCGATTTTTTTCCGGAATGTTCAGCGGGAGTAAACAATGTCCTCATTTTTACTCGGTCTCATCAGCTTCTTCTCTTTCACGTTCTTTGAGGTTGAGTTCGTCTTTCTATGGTGTCATTGAAGTCACCAAACCTCGTTTTTTTACCGGTAATTGAGTTTTCCTTTGCTGTTGTGTTGTGATGAATCAGGTTTATTGTGTAGAAAATAATAAAACAAAATAAAAATAATTCGGATAGAAGAAATTTGGATAAGAACAAGAATGTACTTCGGATGGCCTACAAGTATACTATGTCGCGCTTAAGAAGTAGAAGAATAACAAGAGATTGTAGAGTAAATAATGGATCATGTAGGATATGCAGAGAAAAGAATGATAGTTCTTAGCGAATACATAAGCATGCCGAATCTTTGGGCGAAATGTGCAAGAAAATGCAGTGCCGTTTTTGGGGCATTTTGGGAAGTACACGTCAAGTCCATTGCGTACTGTCCGTTTCGAAAGGGCCGACAACTTCTGATGTGCCCGCCATTGCAAACTAGGCATTGTTGCAAACGTACTGAGGTAGTGATAGTGGCCTACAAAAACGTTGAGTTGGGCAGAGATTTATGTGATACTCGAAGCAGATCATCGTTTGATGGAATTGTTTTAATCTCCAGCTTTATTAGCTTATCGGACAGCCTTGTAGCAAAATAAGATAGTTGCTTTTGCAGATACATCGAAGTTTTCTCGAGCGGGTTACTTCAAGTAAGGATGCGTCGGAATTTCTTCAGCGAGAATTTAACAAATGGCAATAACTCAATTTTTACATCACTTTATATTTTTCTCATAATCTTGGTGCACATTATTTAACTGTCTTGTTCCTCCGCTTTTAGATTCTATGCTGGATATGTATTCTTCTTTGGCTCTAATTTATTTGGAGAAACTCAGAATTACGAAGCTCCAGGTGAGACTGCAGTATAAACTTTGCCGCTCATCGCTTCTATTTTGTGAATTGAGCATGTTAATCTAGGATGCTGGTGTGACAGTGCCTAAAGATGTGTTGGCAAGAACTGCACGCGCAGAAGCTTCACGAAAATTCGACCCGGCACTGTGGCGCCTTGCTATTGCATATGCTCAGAGCAAATGCTTTATCGATGAGGTATTTTGTGTAGTATTTTAGTGTAACTACTCTTTAAATGTGAAGTTTAGAATGTCAAGAAAGGACTTCATTTATTAACCATAGTGTTGGCAGAGTAGCATTAATGAACATTTTTAGCTGTTAAAAATTTTTTAGACTCATGTTCTGGCATTGGCACAATGTGCTTGGTCACGTCACCTACATATCGACTACGTCGCGAGATGTGGTTCTCGTGAAAAGTGTAAGGACGTGATGTGAGTAATTTTTATTTTAGGCTGCAACATATATGAATATTGCAGTTGTCATTTTTTGTTCTAGACGTCTTATGGAACAACGTGGCGCTCGTGTTTTCAACTACCTCGACTATATAGATGTATTAAGAGAACCTGCAAATTTGAAATCTTAACAAAGGATTCGAATAATGTACGGTCTTATTGTACTGCGATACCGGTGATTATAGATGTAAAAAATATTGTGCTATGCAAATGTCGAGATTTTGCCTTTCAAATATCCAGCGGTCTTTCTTATTTTGCCAATTTAGTTCACCTTACCTATCGTAGGTAACGATTTGAGCCGAATTCTGCAGCTAGTTTAACGGTTTATTATAAACCTGCCGTTGACAAGAAACGTCAAGAAATTTCATGACTGATTAACATGGAACATATAAATGAACGGTTCATTGATTCGCATCGTACCTGTTGCCAGTAAGTTAACAAGTAACAAAGAGGCGAAATAAATCATTTTTTGTGGACTTGTGTGAGTTTGCGTTTTCTTTAAAGAGTTTTCAAAGCTCGGTTTACTTACTGTGCATATCGATTTTCTATCCTTATTAACGTTATTACTTGCTGTAATTGAAATGCCCAATGTATTCAGCGCTTGACAAGCGTCATGTTCGTAGATTTTTTGAAAAATAGTGGTCTATATACTTCATACATGGAATATTAGTACAGGATTTTGCAGATGTCAAATTTCGACTCCGAATTGAATATCGGTGGAGTTACACATCAACATCATGAAGGATTCAGTCTTAGTATATTTCGGTCGGTTCTCCGCACTTAAGTCACAGTTTGTAAAGGAGTACGTTAAACACATTTTTATGGTATAAATCTAGCAAACCGACAATTGTGGTAGCTCATCTAGCTTTCAAAAGCGCTGCGTTGGCATACTATTTCCTTGCCAACTGGTTGTCTTCATCTTTTATTGTACAGTTTCTTATTATTGTAAGTGTTTTTAAATTCAAACCTTTTTATTTTCTCATGGTTCAATCCATTAACGCTGCGCACCGTTCATTTAGCTTACACTTTTATCGATGGATTTCTGGACAGTGAAGAATATCACTGGCAGACTGCTAGTTGGATTGCGATGGTGGAACTTTGTGGATGAAAATGGTAACAATCACTGGAAGTTTGAGAGTGCAAAGGTTAGAAGTTGGTTTCTCGTGTTAGACTGCAAGGAAGGTTATAACGTGATGCATCAAAATTATGAAGTAGCAACCGTTTTGACGAGTTGGCATTGCCTTTGGTCCTCAATGGCTACCAAATCGGCAGACTCACCTTAGAGTGGGGCATTTGCGGCTTTATTACCTGTTATACTTTAATAACATGATTAAAAAGTTGGAAATAGTAGTCCCATTTCTTGTTTAAGGCTTTATAAATGCCCAGCTTTTTTCGCTTATTTTTTTTTATTGCTGAAATATAAACAGTTCACATAGGATGCCATGTGAACCTTGCTTACTCATATGAGAAATTTAGCATGAGATACGATGTTTAACCGCATGTCATTATGAGGAGTTTGTCCTTGCGGTTCATTTTAATATTTTCGGAATAGATGAAATTTTCCCACTTTTCAGTGTTGGTTCCTTCTAGTTTTCACGTTCACCGTTATAGTTTCATGTCTGCTGCAGTAGTTATTTCGGTGGAAAATGTTCATCTTTTTGTGACTTGGCAGAGAATTTTCGAAGGTGATGTAATAATAACCTCAAGCTTAAGTAATTCAACCTTTATGGGAACACTATAGCAATAATTCCATGGAACTGTAGTTTTACATAAGTGTAAGAATAGCGTTAATGCATCATTGACTAGAACGGTGTATGTGTCACATACGAGTGGTTAATTCCGATTAAGTGAATATGAAGCTCAACATTTGAATTCTATTGAATGAACTAAGAAGCAGGTGAAGGGTATAAGTACAATGGTTTAACCAGTGGAAGGATGACTATTGTTTTTGTTCGTTTTAAAACGGGTGGTATTAGTGCACTGAAACCTTAGAGTTTTGAAATCGAAGAGGTGTTTTTAGTGCAGAGCTTATTTATTGCGCGGCAGTAGACAGGCAGGGACGAGTAGTTTTTACAAAACAGCTGATTCAACCGGATAAAGACGGATCGAAGGATGTGTATCAAGACAATTCTTCGGGAATCTATGTGGTGGAGGTGGAATTCTACATAGAAGTCGAGATCACCCTCTAAGAGGTGTGTGTGTCGTGATGTGTATCTAATATAGTGGTTTGTCTACGTATTTGAAATTTCCGTCTAGGAACACAAAGTTGTCTGTTTGTTTTCACAAATGTATTATATATTCATAGTCATGATGAGATATGAAGGGAAGTTAAAACGTTATTATTTGACTACAGCTGCAGCTTGGATAGCTCCAATGCAGATTTGTACTTTCCAGCTGATTCCTGTTGACAGGTGTACAGGTGTTTGCTGATAGCACCGCAAGGGTGAAAAGGTGACTGAGAAAAAGGTAAAGCATGGGTTTCGGTTGAAGTGGTGGATAGCACGTGAGTCCTGGAAAAGTGTAATTACTGGTTCGAAGCGCACCTGAGGTTCCGAGTTTTGTTCATATATCAGCATCCTTGCGGTTCTATTCTAGCTCATACCCTGCATGAGAAAAGAATAGGCAGTAAACAAGAGTTGAAACTGTTTTACAAGGTATAATATGTAACCACTTGAAAATGTAGGCATTTGATCTACCGGAATCTGGCATAAGTACACTTAGATCTTAACCTCATTTATTAACTCATTGTGGATATTTTTCTATTAGGTCTTTTGTGACTTTAACAAGGGTAATCATCTTAATGTAATGAATGGGAAAACAGAAAAAGGTACCGAAGCTGCAGTAAAAATGTACCAAAGCTGCCCGAAGAAAAGTTTTATATATAATCCATTGAGAATTTGTTTAATACTTACCCGTTACCTAAAATAAGGGATGCCATCTGGTTGCTTATATCCATAAAAAGCTTTTCTTTCATACTTATCTTTACAGTCTTAGCGCTTGATGAGTTGGTGAAGAGTGGTGTTATTCACTGTAGACATCATACTATCATTCCACTTATTCATACATTTGAGTACCGTTATACAGCATTTGTTCCACTGAACTTTCAACCCTTCTGTTCTGGACGACGTGCGTGCGAAGTCGTTCTTATTCTTCATACACGTGTCTATCAAATCCCTTTGTAGGAAGAATGCAATACCAAGTAAAAAAGGAACTTCCATCCTTTCAGCTTCCACCCATTCTTGACTAGAAGTTCGTTTTGATAGTAGCATCACATATCGTGTAAATCATCAGTTCTTCCATTTTTTCATCATTATACCACTTCCATGACGTTGATTTCGGTTTTAGTTTCCCTCTATCTCCCGATGAATAACTAAGTTGATACGATACCTAAGTCAGTTTCGTTATTACTACGTGGTTATCAGATCACTTGTATCACCTGTAGTGCCGTTGGTGGTCTCGAATGACATGAGCGGGCGCCAGTAAATCTTCTACTTTTTCCTTTTGCGTGCAAGAGTAGCTCAGTGGCTTCTGCTCGTTCTAGGAACCCTCGAGCATCATATCTTTCTTCTAGGCTTTTCGTGAAGAAGTCTGATCAACGAGTAGGTGGTCTTCTTGTAGTGCGTTTAACATCCCGAGGAATCCAGTCACTAACGGCTCTTGTCCATCGGTTGTCGTTCATTCGCATAACGTGTCCGGTCCACCTTATCTTCGACTGTTTGGCGTACAGAACGGCACCTTTGACTTTTGATCGTTGACGCAGGTCGGAGCTTCGGATCCTTTCCCTTACTAGTGTGAAACGGGATGCTCCTAGCATCGTTCATTCGACTGCGCGTTCATTAACGCTGAGTGATCTTTCATCCTGCTTACGCAACGACCAGGTTTCTGACGCATACGTTAACGCAGGAATTACCGTTCAGTCGAAGAGGTGGGCACAGAGTCGGGAATTCTTTGTTCTCTTCACTACATCCTCGATGCTCTTGAAAGCTCCCCAAACCGATCGTTTCCTTCTGCTCAGCTCTGGAGCTATGACGTTGATCATATCGATTTCCCGACCTAGATAAACAGGTAGTACAACATATCCATCCTCCTTTATTTCATTTGATGGAAGGTGGACGTGGCTATCGAAGAGATCTGAGTAGTATTCGTGAATGATTTTCTCCATTGTTTTTCTGGACGCTGTAACTGTTCCGTCTGGGAGTCGGAGTGCAGTCATCTTGGTCTTGCACTTGGCGAAGCCTCGGTGGGCTTTGCGAGCACTTTTCCCAGCCTTTGCAACTTCGACCATTACTGCTGCTGTTCTCTCCCTAAGAGCAAATGCTTTTTCGGCCTCAGCAGCTTCGACAATAACTGCTACTCTTCAATCTTTAAGATCTTCTTTTATCGCCTGTCTGCACTGTTTTGCAAGTTCGGACGTTAGTTCGCTGTTGCCTGCAGCTCGTGCGATTCCACGCTAGCTTATCAGTTCGAGTGTTTCTGGAGACAAACGTCTGTTGGTGACTTTCGAACCCTGAGCTTTCATAGCGCTAAAGTGAAGATCTTGAATGAGCCGGTCGTATTCTTCGTCGATGTTATCGACAAACATCTTTCCAATAACCGACTATTGAATTGAGTCCCTGTTTACGGTGGTTCTGGGACTTCGGTTTTGGAATTTAGCGGCTTTTTCTCCTTTCCGCGTGAAATAGAATCTTGCACGAAGGAGACGGTACTCTGATCACGTGAGAATTTTAGGACAACAGCGGCATCGGTTAGGCAAAACTTTCTATTTACTATGATGTGGTCTATTTCGTTATGGTACTCTCCATTGGGAGACTCCCACGTCCAGCGCTGAGGGTGGGGCTTCTGGAATTGAGAGTTACCATCGATTGCTTTGGTCGTCATGATGAACTCAGAGAGCCGCTCACCCCGTTCGTTCCATTTTAATCCATGGGTCCCAGTGTGACGTTCTTCAGACGTTGTTCTTGGTCTAATCTTGGCGCCAAGTCCATATTAGAATGCTTCTGCTTCTTTTTCGTCATAGTTTGATGTTGGCGCGTAAACGACGAAGATTGTCAGAACTGAGGTTGATCCACGTCTTCTTAATCGTAAACGTCCGATAGGGGTTGTAAGTTGTTCGAATGAATCGATGTTCATGAACAAACTCTTGTTGACGAGAACGCCGACGCCGCCGACTCCTCTACTGTCGCATGTTCTTGGGAACTGTTATTCTCCGGTGTCATAGTCGGCATTGAAAGGGTGGCGTCGTCTCGTATCCGCCAGGCCGATGACCTCGTACATTATCGTTCTTGCTTGTTTGAGCGAGAAAGTCTTCCATCGAGGATCTGGATGCAGGTGTACGTGCATTGTAGGTACAGATCGTCACTATAGTTTTTCTTGATCGAGGCAGCTTCCATTGGCCCTAATATTTCAGCAGCCTCTACATACTCGTCCTATCCAACGCTGCCGAATTGTATGCTCTTTCGGGGTCATGGGAATGAGGTTCGTTTCTTTTACTGTTTTCAGTTTTTTGATACCCACGTATAGCTTGCTGGGCTCTGAACATGTGGGTTGTGTATACTCACGGGTAACTTGCCAGGCTCTGGCTCTCCCAGAGTGGACATGGAGCTTATTTGTTGGAGACATCTCCTAGCCGCCGCTCATATACTTCCTAGTCACTTGATTGCAGGCTTTTGGCCGAATGGCCGGACTCGTAGAATAGAGTCCGCATAAGCTTGAACGCACCCACAGACGCGTGCATGAATGTGCCTCGTAAATACAGAAAGTATGTGCCAAATCAGCGCAGCAGAAACAGGGAGTCTATTCTCTGAACCCACCTGCGTATCAGGAAAGCAAAAGTCGCTTTTGGTCCCGCGATTAACTCCCTATCCGCCACCTGGGGACGTGCCACGTGACCTCGCGACTAATCGGCTATCGGGATCCCTCATGTGAGGGAGATCCGTGGGAACATCAGATATCGTGGAGAAACCTTACCTTTAGTAATGGCAATTCTTAGTTGAATTGCACGAAATTCTTCTAAGCATGGCTTAAGTGAGTGCTGTCTCAGGGATAACAGACAATAAGGAGATTGTGCAGTAGTTACTGATATAATGTTGGTTCCACTTTTGTTTAGCAACATAATCCTGCTGATTTTTCGTTAACCAGGAACCTGGTCTGTTGTCGCCGAAGAGTCGAGCCAGTGTGTTGATAAGTACTGGCGGAAGGTTCTTCAGATATCTAGATATTATCCTGTCCGGATCTGATGTTCGATTTTTCACCGACGAAATAGCATGTCGGATTTCGGAAGGAA